AAATGCTTCAGTGTTCAGGTAAGTTGCCTATCTTTCGTTCTTACGAATATATGCAAGTTTCTGAAAAGACGCTAAAATACAGCTGCATCCTGTAAGCCAGTGGGATATTAAAGTCAGTGGGAGCACACTGATCTAATGTGAAAAGAGTGAAACTTGGAATGCTTTTAATTCTGCCACTTGAGCCAGAAAGCACCAGATTTCATAGCACAATAACTGAACCCTTAGGGACTTTGAATACTGTTATTCCAAAATTTTGAAATGAAACTACCAAAATATGTGCTTACAGAATGGTTAATAAGATGTGCGCCGCTCTGATTGCTAACGTGTTTTCTGAATACAGTGCAGAATCAGGTTACATTTTTATTTACATTTAACTTGTCCACGAGTAACTTAACAGTTAGGACAACAGGAAATGGCCTCAAGTTGCGCCAGGGCAGGTTTAGGTTGGACATTAGGAAAAATTTCTTCACAGAAAGGGTTGTCAGGCATTGGAATGGGCTGCCCAGGGAAGTGGTTGAGTCATCCCCTGGAGGTATTTAAAAGATGAGTAGGTGAGGTGCTTAGGGACATGGTTTAGTGATGGGATGGCAGGGTTGGGTTAACAGTTGGACTTGATGATCTTAAAGGTCTTTTCCAACGTAAATGATTCTGTGATTCTAAGAAATGGCCAAGAGCAGTGGTCTGGTTCCAATAAACGCATTCTCACAGGGTTGAGAACTGTGGTATGAGCTTGATTAATAACTGTTTTTCTCATTGCTATTCTTTTCAGTGAAGGATGGGATTTCAAGAAATTGACTTCAGAATCATTTTACACTGCAGAAGAAAATGTGTTGCTGTTCATGTTGCCTTTTAAATCACCAGGAAAAGAGATGGTTGATCTCTAAACAGAATTAAGAGCCATTCACAATTGTGTCCTGTTTTTAAAAGACTTAAAATCATCTTTTCAGCTAGAGAACTGTGCTTGCAAATTCTGTATTGGCAGTAATTACTCAAGACTGACACTTGAAATCAACTCCTGTACTTCCTTACTGCAAACTGGGGCCTGTGTCATTTGTGATACTGTAAAGTCAGGCTTGCCTACGCGTTAGCTTGACTGCATGAATGTTAAAGTTGTCCAGAAGACAAGCATCTGAAATGAGCAATCACAACAGCCAAAACATTTAAGTATTATTCAACACAACGCCAGAGTGCTTGCACTGCTGCCACCACCACCATTTCATTAGGAGTTTAAACTTAACAATAGGTCCTTCGGGTCAATGAAATGTCATAGTCTGATTTAAAGGACTCACCTAACACAATCTATTCTTTTAATTTTTCTGATGAGTAATTGTCAGTTGCAAGAAGAAAGAAAAGCAGCTGAACAGTTATAGTGTATGCATTCCCTTCAGCATACCTGTGATGATTAAGTTTAATTTCCTGAACTATACATACAGGGTGTGAGAGAAAAAGGAAAAATATTTTGCATATATAAAATTATAAATATGTAATTGAATATACCAGTGCAAAGAGGACTTCACTCTGCCCTCCTTTCAAACTTAAAATTGTCTGTGTAACAAATAAAACCCCCAAAACCCCAGAGATTTGGTAGTGGCCCAAGGCTGACATCATGTGAATTCTCAAAATTAAATAAACATCCCGAGGCAATAGCCATAGCATGCCTCGTTCTGCAGCATTCCAGGTACAATTTTGGGCTCATTTTCAGGAGCACTTTTCTGTGATTGTGGCTTCAATAATGTGACCACCTGATTTCAAAACCTGCAAATTATGTTTACACCGGTGTTGCTACTGGGATCAACTTTATGTAATTTGAATAATTAAATCTGACTTCACAGTTCTCTTTTTATAGCTGCTCCCAGTGATTTGCTTCTCGTTCATACTGGTTTTCAGTTATTGCTGGAGGGGGAATGATACCCAATCCTTGCACATTTTGAAATGAAAATTGTTTTAAAAGAAACTAAAAGCCATGTCAGACATTTTCAGAAACAAAAGTTGAACAACACGGAGATACTCTGTTTCACTTCAGAATTTCTTTAAACTGTTTGGAGTTAATTTACTTTAGATTGGGCAACAGCCAAGCTTTAGCTTCAGAACCTTTCAGAACAGGGGATTTGTTGGTTTGTTCTTCTCTCTACCCTGAAAAAAAGGGGGTTTTCTGACAATTCAGTATTTCCAAGGAAAAAGCATTTTGTCAGAAATAGCTCAGCTCGTGCCCCTCCACCTGCCTTCGTTCAACTGAGTTTCTACAGCCAGTGTTTGAATGAAATCAATTTTGTATTTGATATGTACTTTTCTAAGATCCTGATGAAATTCATTAAAACATGAATTAAGAGGGGAAAAAAAGTGTACTTTTGGTAGAATTACTTTGCAAATACTGTCGGAAGGCTGCGGTAACCTCCTGCGGATCGGGACACAGGCCAAGCGCGGCAATAGCGCCCGTCTGCTCCGACAGCGAGCGGCTACCTTACGGGTCAGTATCGCAGGAATGGTTTAAAAATCGCGATCTGCCTCAATCGGCGCTTGGCTTCAGCAGCTCTGTGGTGACGGCGGCCGTGAGGCGCGGCACCGCCCCGCTCCCTCGCGCC